ATTCACGGATGAATGTTTGTTTAGTTATGTTTCTACTTTTCCACAAGTTTTGGATCAATTTTTCTTACCATAAATGTACTAATATGCATGTATTCACGAATATAACATTCAAAATGTAAAATATAAACATTTTTCATCAGTATTTGTTTAGAATTTCAGGAAGTAACCTTAGATTGCGACGTCGCCAGATTTGCTTGCATACCACGAAAAAAAGGCGAATCTCAAATAAAGGGCTCCAGGATCAAAGTAATTTGGAATTGAAGTTTATCTGTTGTGTATCTTAATAATTCATTTTTTTATGTAATATTGATAATATTTGGAAAACATTTATTTTTCACTACATAAAAGAGGCAAATAAAAGTTGATGTAATAATGGGGGCGATATTTTTGACGTGATAACGTTTTATAAATTGATGAACCCCACCTGCATTCACGAAAATGTGTTACGGGGCGTTACGTTCATTCTCGGAAACGTTCCGCCTGACACGCGGTAGTGTTAAGTTTGCAATGTCGGTCATTTATGGCTTTAAAAACTGGTATAATTTTCAGAAAAAATTAAATTTTCGAAGAAGTTGAATTTTCAAAAAAGTCAAATTTTTCAAAAAATGTCAAATTTTCAAAAATGTCAAATTTTCAAAAATATAAAATTTTCAAGAAATATCAACTTTTCAAAAAATATAAAATTTTCAAAAATGTCGAATTTTCAAAAAATGTCAAATTTTCAGACAAAAATCAAATTTTTCATCAATGTTTTGTTATGACGTTATCACGTAAAATTAGCGTCGGTAAACGGACTTTACAGACAACCGACTTGGGATTTTTTGACATTTAAACACTTACCCCTTTTTGAGGGGAGAGGGGTATTTAAATGGTTTTTCTTTTTATTAATTATTGGTTCTTCCTTATATTTTCAGATAAAAAGAATGCTCAGAAGAAACCACGGACGTTCGAGGGACATAAAGAGGTACTAGAAATATTATTTCAAGGAATATTTTCCGCCCAAAACTCTCGGAGGAGAACCAATGAACAATATTATTTTGGAAAACAATACTAACAGGGTGTCCGCAAAGTTGGGGTTTTCCTTTACACGACGTGTGAATCTTGAAAACATAAGCAATTTTTCTTAGTACCATATACACCAATGTCTTAAGGGAACCGAGATAAAGGGCTCTGCAACATCAAAAATATCTGAATACCGTCCTGTAGCCGCGACCCGCGACATCACCGAGTGGTACAAGGTCACTGGCTCAACCCGACGACAGAACTGGGTCGGGGTCAGTGTGCAACCTTAAACCGACGGTTACGGTCACGCGTGTAGAGGTAAACGAACCCGTATAATCGATTGCGTTTCAAAAAAATAATAATGGCACACTCATACACCAATAATGAACTCGTTGATATGTTGTTAATTTATGGCGAATGTCTTCAAAATGCTACAGAGGCTTCGCGAGTGTATGCAGATCGTTTCCCTAGACGACATCATCCAAGGCTCCGCAGATTGTGTACCTGGTCCAGAGAGTCAGGGATACGGGCCATTTGGAGGAATTCCGAGGTGGGCACAGTGGGAGGCCTCAACAAGCCCTAGAGACGTGGCTAGAGAAGTGCAAGTATCAAAAACTAAAGTGTGGCAAACGCTGCGTGAAGAGGGGCTGTATCCGCTTCACGTCCAACGTGTACAAGCCCTTCAACCTGACGATTTTCCAGCAAGAGTGAGGTTTTGTGAGTGGTTGTTGCATCAACATGACAATAATCCGGACTTTTTGAAGTGCATACTGGTGACAGACGAATCTACGTTCACGCGTAATGGGGTGAATAACTTTCGCAACACTCATGTTTGGTCAGTAGAAAATCCGCACGCTGTCCGTCGGGCACATTTTCAACAAACATTTTCGGTGAATGTTTGGGCTGGCATGGTGAACGGTATGCTCATTGGACCATTTATTCTCCCAAATCGATTGGACGGGTTGCAATACCTAGACTTTTTACGCAACATTTTGCCTTCCTTGTTAGAAGATGTGCCATTAAGTGTAACACAATCAATGTGGTTTCTGCACGATGGTGCACCGCCCCATTTTAGACGCGAAGTGCGTGAGTTTTTGAATGAATTATTTCCGAATAGGTGGATCGGACGTAATGGACCCGTAGCGTGGCCTCCGCGATCTCCAGACTTAACACCATGTGATTTTTTTCTTTGGGGAGAAATGAAACGCTTAGTGTACAAAACTGAAGTGCATACGGTTGACGAACTTCGTCTCAGAATTGAAAAAGCTGGTGCTTTCATTCGGGGGAGGGACCCCAACTTTGCGGACACCCTGTATAATTGAAATAGGTGGACTAAAGAAAGTTATTAAAAAAAGGTTGACTGATAATGATCCCATAACATTTGTAGTACCATATGAAGAATTTTATGAAAAACTTATGGATTGTCATATATCTACTGGTCACGGGGGTAGAGACAAAATGAAATCAGCTTTAAGACCAAAGTTCACGATTCCTCGAACAGCAATTGAAATTTTTGTAAAGTGCTGTACTCGATGCGCTGAAAAACGAGCGCAACATCTAAAAGGATTGGTAGTAAAACCTATTTGTCCAAAGATTGGAATCATCGTGGGCTGGTCGATTTAATTGACTTTCAATCCACCCCGGATGGAGAATTTAAATGGCTGCTAAACTATCAGGACCACCTAACGAAGTTTGTGCATCTAAGGCCATTAAAAAGCAAACGGGCGGATGTAGTTGCTCATGATTTAAGAAATATCAGTACAAACCTAGTACAACTGCAATGGTGCACTAAGAGATGCCTTTGTTTTAAGGCTCGCGGAAAATGTACAAGCAGGTGCCATTTCAGTGGTCCATGTTCCAATAAATGAACATTTTGTTTATAAAACTTGTTTTGATTTTTTTTTTAAGTAAACTTATGTAAATTTACATATATAAGAATGTTAAATGTTTGTTTAGTTTTGTATTTTTAGAATTTTTGTTATTAAATAATAATTTTCATTCATTTCTTTTATTCATAAAATAAAGCGTATTAAAACATTCCTTTAACTGTGTTATAGCTACAAGGACAATACTTTGATACCTGCTTAATGATGCCAAATATGTATGTTGATATCAATATATCTTAAATACAATTCGTATTTTACAAACCGACCAAAGTACTTCACCCGCAAGAATGTTAAACCTTTATAAAACGTCTAGTCGTTTTATAAAATGGCTAGCCAGATAGCAAAATAACGAATCGTTGAATGAAAATTTGACAATCTGGCCGCCGTTTATGAAACGACTAGGCGTTTTATAAAACGACAGGTTTTATAATCTGGCTACGACAGATAGATGCCGCATTAATAAGCCGACACCTGGAAGACAGAATAATACATTAGGCTATCATTATTATTTCAGATTTACTATGAAAAAGACCACCACGGCCGAAACGTTAGTAAATTATCAATCCCACATCGTTGGTTTAATTTAACGTCCAGCAAAACATGGAGATTATTCACCGAAAAAACCACTAGATAAGATTTAGATACGATATTCTTAATTCTAAATTTTTCAGTAACAAAAATCCCGTACATGTACGAGGTATTCGGTACTTAAATGGACATAATGTAATGGCACGTACTATGGACCTAGTCCTTTTCATATTCAAAAACATAAATTTCTAAGTTCAGTATTTACTGATATAACATACATGGGTGATTTATGTAAACACGCAAAATATTTAATACAAGGTACTAAGGTCTCTACTATCTAGTTGGATACTAGTATAATCGGCCGAAAAAGCGTCAAACTAATCAACACATCGCAGCAGTTACGTGTATACTTGGCATCTAGGTTGGCGAAATGATCTTTGAAATTCACGTGTTTACAACAATGACTACAGTCAACTACAATCATCGCTACGAGTTTTACTCTTTCCAACGCGTATTTTTGGATAAGGTGTTAAAATCAAGTTAATAAGAGCCTTTCTCAACTGGACGCCTTGGCAGCGTCACCAGCATCCGTAGCCAAACTTAGCTATTGAAAATATGGCGTATTTATGGTAATATGCGTGGCGGACAGCGGCAACGGACGACAACATTTTGGCTGTCATACAAAATATCATTAGGTTTATTTGGCTACGAATGCTCGCGAGGTCGCCATAGCGTCTCGGGGAAGGAGGGCTCTGGGCTCTTAGGGTACATACATACATAGTGAAAGATGCTTACGGTGATGATTTCTTCGCTACCTCGATGAGCGTTTCCTCGCGACTTTCTACATGGGTAGAGGATGTTCATACTGAATTTACCCTCGATGTTTTCTCTTCTCTCGTCGAACGCGGTTCTTAATGTCTCATTTGTTCAGGAGAGAATAATAAGTCAGGATGCTGTTGAGCGACAGTGGGAGTGATTTGTCTCTAGTAACCAAGTGGTGGATGTTTAGTTTTCTACCAAATCGAAAATACAGTACACATCCAGTAAACAAAGCGAGACAGGACCCTTTCGTCGAATTGAAGAG